GCTGTGGACGTCATAGGTCGTAGTTAATCATAAGCCGTAGTGGTGGGCTGCATGAAGAGAGCTTATGATTTCGGAGAAAATCGTCTGTCCGAGTGCATTGTTACACGATCTTAATGATTTCAAAATTTAACGATCTTGAGCTCGATGGATTTGTCTTGTCGAGATGTTCCATTTGACCAAAAAATTAAAAAAATTGAAATTCATTTCACTTTATAATTATATACTGAAAGCTTTTAAAATTTGTTTAACGACTTAATTTGGGCTTAATTTGACTTAGATTGAACTGATTTCTGTATCATGAGATCTGTCTCGTCGAGTCACTCAATTTGCCTATAAGTTTGTTGAAACTAGAGTTCTAGATGTGTTTTTAACTAAAGTTTGGATATTGCTTTGCTTTAAAATTATCTTAAGATTTGTGGTGCGTCTTAAAACTCGTGTCAAGCGGTTTGAGATCTGCGCCTTACCATGAGTCATTTGATCCCACCGATTTGTGAAACTGTTAACCGCCGGCAGTTTACCGCGTTGCGTTGGAAAAGCTTAATAACGAGTCTCAATTCCTTATTAAAAGTTAACTCACAAATTACGCCACTTTAATTTAATTAGTACCAGAGTGATATTATCATGAATAGTTCTTAGTATAAAACATTTTGTTATTTGAACAAGTTTTTTTTTTTATAATTTTAAGCAAATTTAGTCATAAACACACACATAAATTGGTTGCATGATCAACTTCATTCAATTACATTTGTCAATTTTTCGTTGCTTGATTGTTGTGGCTTAATCACTGTCTTTTGATTGTTACTCCTTGGCCATTATGTGTCAATCATTCTTGTCTGCTTGCCAACACTTGATTGTTAGTGTTTGACTACTGTCATCACCCTCCATCGCTTCTTTTTATAGTCACAAGAGATCAAATAAGTTCTCCTAATGTTATAATCTCTACTTCTCTTGTTAAAAGTAAAAAATGAATTTTTATAATATATGCTTTATCTGATTTTTTATAATGTGCACTCTATTCGTTTATCCATCCATGATAGGGATCTCAACGCAAAAGCCAGAAAATAAATATCTCTCTCTCTTTCC